GGCGGGAGGAGCGGTGAGCGGCCACTCCCACAGCCCTCTGGGAGTTGTAGTCCTCGGACGGTAACCGCCCAGTTGCCAGCTGGGAGTTGAAGTTCTCCCTCCCAGCGCCGATGGGATCGCCCGCCTCACGCGGCTGCTGGACTACACTGCCTTTCTTCGTGTTTTGGTTCCTTCTCTGCCCGCGTGTGCCGCTCGGCTGTCATTTGGTCCGCGATCACGTTTAGTGGCTCCGTTTCCTCGGTGTTTGCTCGGATACGGGATACCAAAACTCGGGGCGAGCTTAACCAATTTCGGGGGAGCCAGGAACGTCTCTCCCCTGCCCCGCCTGCCTTTAGCTACTAAAGGGGCGGGGTAGAGGCAGATTGGCAAGGTGAGGAGGAGCGCGGGATTTGATCTGGGCTGAGAATTTGACACTGAATTGTCTGTCTGCGAAAAGAGACCCTTGGGAGCCACCAGTCTTGATCCCATTCTCACCATTACTTTCCAGCGAAGAAATAAACTAAATTGCCCCGTACAGGTGGACAAGAGAACGGAAGATCCATGCACTTAACAAAAACATGTTTCTGATTGTATAAGTTTGAGAACATCATGCGGATGTTGGTGCAAATTATCGTTCGTTAGGTTTGCAGCCTGCACCACCCTGCGTGCAAAGTTCAGAAAGTCCTCGGACAGCCGTACCTCCCAAAGAACATAAGAGCGCACCCGCGGTTCCCACCAGCCGAGGCGCGGAAATCGGCTGCCCGGCTCCTCCCCCTGCTCCTGGAATTCTGGTGGGAGTGGCGCTCCAAGCAGTCGTTTTGTTTATTGCGTGTATTCTTCCATTTATAAAACAAATACTGAGCTCCTCCTGTGTGCCCAGCACTTTTCTATACATGGTAAGATGTTGGTGAGCAAAACATAAAATTTCCTCTTCCCATTCTAGGAATTCCTGTATCCTAGTGTGTGCTGGGGTGAGGGAAAAGGGAGAGGAGGCAATTTTTAAAAATATATATGATTAAAATGCATAGGATGTCATAACTGATGAAAAATTTTTAAGCAAGGAAGGGGAATAGGTAAAGGGGTTACAATTTTATTTTAATTTTTTTATTGATTGATTTGTGAGAGAGAGGGAGAGAGCGAAAAAGAGCAAAATATTGATTCGTTTGAGCACTTATTTAAGCATTCATTGCTATGTGCCCTGACCAGAGATGGAACCTGCAACCTTGGCGTATCTGGACCATGCTCAACCAACTGAGCTACCCAGCCAGGGCCCAACACATCTTTTTTTAATTACAAATATTTCTATAACATCTCCTTTATTAGCCTAAAATGAAATTCATAGATAGCGTAACCTACCTACGCAAATGATTTTGTAAATAATGCCCTATATAATATTAAAAGAACAAAGAAAGTAATTTATAATACAGTAATTTATGTTTCAATATACAAATGCTCAAGCATGACTGGTCTAGAAAATGTAATCAAGTCATCATTTGCTGTCACTTATAAAATGCCCATGAATTCGAAAGCTACAAATGCCAACTGACACAAGTATTGTGTTTCAGCCACCTCTGGTGGACAACACTAATCTGTTCTCAGTGTCCGCTGTAAATGCATTCCTAAAACATTCGCTGTTAGAATAATGTAAAAATAAAAATACTGCCTTGGGTTCATATATGAAATAGGTCAGGTTTTAGGTACAGATCATTATAAACAGGTTTTTCACATATGCTGGGGCATTTAAAACTCATGAGGGACACAAAATAAATTTTCATGTGAGGAACACTCACACATCTTGCAGGAAGTCTTGCTTACTGGCCCCGGTACTCTAAAAGCCAGAAGTACCTCCCAGACTATCCAACACTAGGGGGCAATACCATGCTTACTGAGAGTCATTCATTGGTGGAGACCAGCGATTTTCAACCTTTTGCATCTCATGGCACACATAAACTAATTGCTAAAATTCTGCAGCACACCAAAAAATGTATTTTATTTTTTGCCAATGTGACAAAAAAAATAGGTATAATTTTGATTCATTCACACCAGATGGCTATTGCTGTGTTGACTGTTGTCATTTTTTAATTTGACAGTCTAAGGAAAAGAGGTCAGTGCCTCTGACTAAATAGTCAGGTACTGAATGTTTTAAAAATTCTTGCAGCACACTGGTTGAAAATCGCTGGTTGAGACTAACATTTCTTAGGTCACCAACCAATTAGTGAGAGAGTCACTACCCTTTCGGGCCAATGTTCCTTTTACTATACTATATTACCAATTTTTCATGTATTATATGTATGAATATGTATGTTTAATTTCATGTAAGCTTATCTATATAACAATTCTCATATCATTTTATTTATTTTTAAATATGTCTTTATTGATTTCAGAGAGAGAAGGGGAGAGGGAGAGAGAAAGAGAGAAATATCAATGATGAAAGAGTCGTTGATCAGCTGCCTCCTGCACGCCCCCACCGGGGATCGAGCCCGCAACCAGGGCATGTGCCCTGACCAGGAACCAAACCTCAATCTCCTGGATCATAGGTCAATGCTCAACCACTGAGCCACTCCAGCTGGGCCTCATATCATTTTAAAAGTTAATTAACATTAAACTCTGTTACCTAGCTGCCTAGTGATTCCTCAGCGTAGGACATCTATTCACTTAGTAACTATATTTTTTTACATTTAAGCATGTGCTTGGTTGGTGCTGATGGTACAGCAAACATTGCCCTCATGAAGCATGGTGCCTAGTGAAGAAGGTAGAAATGAAATAATCAGATATATAAGTAAATATAACTATATAAATATAATTTCTTGTATATAATTATAACTGGTGATGAGTACTATGAAGGCGTTTACAAGATGTTATGCGAACATTTAAGAGGGGAACCTGATTTCGATTGGTGGAGAAGAGAGTAGTCAGGGAAGATCTTTACAGATTAAGAGTAGAAAATATACAGGGACCATGGAGTGGGGAAAAAACTTGACTCTAGTGTAGGCCATGGTGAGCAAGGGCAGAAGTGGCCTATGATGAATTTAAAGAGAGGCATGATCACTGCAATCTCACCCTCCAAGGGAATCCAATGGGAATGTTTATCACATTTTAAAGTTATTTCCTGTAATTTATTTTCAGTATATAATTTAAAATTTGTTGTATATATCCATAAAAAAAACTAAAAGAAAAATTTTTAAAAAATTTAAAAATAAAGAGAGGCATGATCTAATTTACATCTTAAAAGACTATGCTACTGAACATCCATCACTGGGGAAATTAATTATTTTTACTTCCATTCTCTGGACTATTACATGGCTATATAAAAAGAAAACAGGAAAGAAAGGGACAAGAAGAAGAAATCAGAGAAAGGAAAAGAACTATATGTTGACCTGAAAGGATGTCCATGATGTATTATTAGGCAAAAAATAAGTAAATGGCAACATGATATATTATATATAATGTAATCCATCTTTTAGAAATAAAAAGGAGCCAACAAAAAATACTTGAATATGTTTTTGTATAGCACAAAAAAATAAATAAATAAATAATGGAGGAAACATACACATCACATTTTAGTGTGTGGCTGGCTACTTTCGGGGATTGCCCTTGGAAAGGGGTGGAGGGAGAAAATAACCTCTCTTTATGAGTTGGTGTATTGATCTGTTGTGTATATGAATTAGTTTTGTACATTTTAAAAAATAGATCACTCTGCTGTTTGGAGAATGGAGAGGAGGGAAAAAAGAATGAAAATGGAGCAACTAATTAAGAGGACATTTCAGTTATCCAGATGTTGGGTCTGATTACGGTGGTGGTGAAGGTAGAAAAGAGGTGATGAGTTCACGATATATTTTTTGAGATCAACACCATAGGACTTGGGGGTGAACTGATTAATGGAGGCATCCTCATGAATGGCTCTCAGCTTCTCTGACTGAAATGGCCTTGAAGATGCTGGCTCCTTTGGTAAAAGGAGAATGGTGAATATTGAAATAACATCTGTAGACAGTAGGAAAACAGCTTCATCATAAAAACAGCCAGATTTCGGGGAAATAATGATTGCCCATTGGAGATCGGTGAACTTAAAAATCATGGTGATAGTGTTTTGCCCAACTTACTGATTTTTCTCTAATGCTTATCTGCTTGGATTCTGCTATAGGAGTAACATATATATGGGCTTATGAAAGCAGAGGAACATTAATGGGCAACCAACATAATGGGTTGTTTCCCATTTTCTCAACCTTCATATATTATGTATATATGAATACTTTTAATAAATAAATTTTTCAAGTTATTCTTGAGATATAGTCTCAAATGTAGACTTGCTGGACCAAAGGAAATGATCAGTTTTATGACCTTTATTATGGCCAGATTAATATTCATTTAATGTGAATGAATATTAATATCACTTTATTTGTGAAGCTTTTTCCTCCCCAAAAAAACTCACTCACTTGGAGTTTTACTATTATCATTTCATTTTAATTACTTAGTGAGTATTTGAGTGTTAAATATTGGGTATAGGGTAATGGGCAAAGCACTAAACTATGTCAAAGATCTTAAGATTTAAAAAGGAAAACTGAAAACAGGGAAGGAAAATAATATGCAAGTAAAACTCTATATGTTGTCAGAGTAATAGGAAGGAAAAGGA